CTTGAAACGACTATTGTCGTGATTTGGCGCTAAAAAAAACGAACTTGAATTGAATTATAAAGTTGAGTAACTGAAGTAGATTCCACACATAAGGATAAGAAAGTGAGCAAATAGTTAATATTTTGTGTGACCAAACTACATCTACTTGAACTCACCAACAGAGACAAAGAACACATCTAACTCTTAAAAAGTAATTTATTAAAAACGTGCAAAAAAGCAATGTGTTTCAGTGAAAAAAACTATTCACATGTGTTATCATATACTTTGTGCATCTGAAGTCACAAGTTCATGTCTTATTATTTTTGTCTGCCAATTTGTTAACTTCAGAGAGGAGACCCTCGATTAAATGCCTCTGCTGGCGGTTGGCTTCTGCCAGTTCCTCCTGCAGAGCTGAGCGTGCATCAGCCTCCCTCTCACTCTGCTCTCGGAGGAACTGCATCATCACATTGAAACGTTTATCACTCTGCCTCTCCTGTTCTGCATCTGAACAGCGTATCTCTTGCACAGTGGCCAGAAGTGTGTCGCCCCTTTTCCTGTTTTCTGGGGGGAAAAAATGTGGAGGGTGGAGATATAATTAACACACAAGTGCCATATTATACATTGGACTGTACTTCTCCGGAATTAAATGTTTGTATCAGGACTGGGGCAGCAGTGGGTGCTGGCTGCTGGTAGGTGCTGGCTGTAGGTGTGTTGTAGATGCTGAAGGAATAAATATTTTAGAATTAAACCAATGTGTTGACCACATAGATTGTGCATTTGTATATGTAAGAAGACTGTTCTTTACATGGTGTAGGGTGGCAGAGGGTGCTGGCAGCTGGCCCATGCTGGCTGCAAGACATTGATGCCACTGCAGATGTTGGCTCTGGGGTTGCTGCTGGATGGATAAACATTTCAGAATAAAACACAAGTTATAAAAGCATCTCTATCAGAAGCATGCAGTGTCCAAAACTAACTTGTTGACTCTGTGAGTTATAAGTATACTATGGTTTACTATAGTATAATGATGTACAACTAAGTATACTATACGTTAGTCATAGTTATAAGACTCTGTGATAAGTTATAAAACTACACATACTAATCAAACAAGCCCACCATGAAAATTGTATTATTGATAATAACTCTGTGCTGCTTATACTATGAAATGAATGGAAACAAAATATATTATAAAGACTATTAAGCGTGTGTGTGTGTGTGTGTGTGTGTGTGTGTGTGTGTGTGTGTGTGTGTGTGTGTGTGTGTGTGTGTGTGTGTGTGTGTGTGTGTGTGTGTGTGTGTGTGTGTACATGTGGCTCACATCTGCTAACATTAAAGAACAGTGGGGAAATCGGCCCAACGGAGAAGTAAAATGACTACATAACTACTGTGGTCCAAACATTTGCTTGCTATCAGCAAATTTTCTTTACCTGTTCGACTGGGGCAAGGTGAGCTGGTGGCAGCAGGATTGTCTGGGATGCAGTCCAGGTCTGTTTCTGAATTAAACAAACATGATTCGGAACAGAAAGTTAAAAAAGAAAACAGGCCAAACTGGTACAGTATTTTAAATGAGTTATTTAGGTGGAAATGAAGAACGTTTACTGACCTTCGTGCTCTTCTGGGGCTGTGTTTACACTGCAAACAATGGACTCCAAAAGCTTTGTGCAGGAGTCCTTGGTTCCAGCGTTACCAGCGTAAAGCTTGGTTTATGCTTGACGCATTCACTTTCCGCTTGGTGATGCGGCTCGCGGCTGGAACGCGCTTCACAACTCGCAGCGTTTATGGTTCATGCGGCTCGTCTCTGCGGTGAGCCAATATTCTCCCAAACTGAACGGGGCAGCATGGAGCTCTACGGCATGCATCCAACACTACACCATGGTAGAAGTAGAAATTACTGTTTACAACACGGCATTTCAGCATTTTTAACAGCGTCCTCATCTTTTCTGACAGTGCGAGCTATTTCTCTCCAAGAATTATTTACAACGTGTTGATCACGGTGATCTTTGAGAGCTGAATCATACAAATGTCTGTATTTACGAACATCTGCCATACTAGTTCTTGCCGGTCCGCCATGTTTTTCCGCGTCCGACCGTCCGCGTGGTTAGAAAATTTCCTAGGTGCACGTTGCGGAAATTTTGGGCCGTATGGAGGCGCAGTGGAGGGGCGTGATCGTTAAAATGACGCAAAATGACGCAACTTTTCCGCGCTGAGCCGTGCGGACCTCGCGGACGCGTCAAACATAAACCAACCTTTAGCAGGACGATGGTCTAAGATTACATCCAGTGTGTCGTACCACTTGCTACTTTTGTGATTCGCCCCACTCTGGTTGTTGTGATCTTTGATTCTTTTATAATAATAAAAATAATAAAAAAAAATAATAATAATAATAATGCATTGAACTTATATAGCGCTTTTCTAGACACCCAAAGACGCTTTCACACACTCTCACATTCACACACTGCTAGTGATGGTAAGCTACTTGTAGCCACAGCCGCCCTGGGGAGGTCTGACAGAGGCGAGGCTGCCATTTGGCGCCGTCGGCCCCTCTGACCACCACTAACACAGTCCTGTTATAGTCCTGTTCAGTTTCTTTATTTGTTCTCTGCATTGCTTTGCAGAGTGGTAATACCCGGCTTCTTCTAGTTGTGCATTTATGGTAGAAAACTTTGTAATATTACGCTGCCAGCCTTCAAAACCTCTCTGGACATTTTCATTAGAAAAGATAGCCAAAAGTAGCCTGGCAAGCCAGACTAAATAAATGTATTATTTATAATACATTTATTTAATACATTTAAATAAATACATTATAATACATTTAGCTAAATGTATTATTTAGTCTGGCAACGCTCCACTGACGGCTCTCGGTTGTGGGGCGGGTTCTACCGTTGTCTTTCAAATGATCTCCGCATTCCACTGGACAATGAATGTGACATACTCTTGTTTCACTCTGTTGCATCATCCCACCCACCAGGCATATAGAGGGCCCTGATTGGCCCACAAAGCGGATAAAGCTCTGTGATTTGTTCACAAAGCAGATAGAGCACTATGATTGGCCCACCATTATGGACCAGTCACAGCTCTTCATGTGTTTGAAACCCCTCTAGAGAGCTGTGATTGGCCAGCCAGAATGCTGTTGGGCCTGCAGAGGTTCCAGTGGAGCATGCCTAGACCAAACTTTGCAAAGCAAGAATTTGGTCTAGTTCACTAGGCTAAGCCAAAAGAGCTTTCACTTCCTCGTCCGTCCACTTATCCATCTTGCTGTTGTGCTGTAACCAGCAACTGTAGTTTTGTAAAAAAGGCAGTGCCTTAAGAAGCAGAAACCTAGAAAGGGGCGTAGCTAATAAACACCTACGTCATATTAGTTCCTCAGGAACCATGACAAACCCCTGCCTCAGAGTAGGAGCTAAAATGGTTTTAGGAACTGAGGGTCAAAGTTTCTAGTTCCTATCTATCCAAATGGCTGAAAAAATGGGCTGGTTCCTGAAAAGTTTACAAGAACTACAAAAGGTCCCTACAGTCCAAAAGAGCCTAATGAGTCACAAGTTTGTAACTTTGGTCATGAAAGTTAAGAGAGAAACTGAACTAAACGTGTTTCCTATCCAGCTATCACCTTGTAAACCAGGTGTCACCAACTCCAGTCCTCGAGGGCTACCATCCAGCTAGGTTTCTGTGTTTACTGCTCTACCACACCTGAATGGAGGAATTTAATCCTCTCCTTTACTCTGCACAGGCCAGTTAATCACTCACTCATTTCAATCAGTGTGTAGGTGCAAAGAAACAGCTAACATGTGCAGGATGGTAGCCCTCGAGGACGAGAGTTGGTGACCCCTGTTGTAAACTGTTAAAACTGCATCCAACAAAAGGCTGAAACTGGTCCTCAAGGTTCATTAATCTGCTGCACAGCATCAAGATTATTGTAATTAATAAATGAAACCATCAGATCCAAGCTGTTTCACTGACCTGTCAAAAGTACTCTTCCAAACTTCTAAAGCTTTGTCATACATATTTAAAATGACGCCGACATGAGAATAAAGTTTTGGTTTTGTAATAAATGTTCAAGAATAACAGAAATTATATTTTCCATTCCAGAGAACATGAATTATGCTGTAATTTGTGCAGGATTTACATTCTTTTTACTCAACATTTACCTCTGAAACTATTTATTCACTCTGATAGAAAATTTGTTTTAATTGGGCACCGTGAGTAGGATTGGGCATCGCTTGAATGGAAACTGGCACTTAAATGTAACTGCTGTCAGTAACCCTTTAGATTTAAACAAAAAAAAAAAAAACTCAGCAAACTAAATACTTCAAAAAAGCAAAAAAATTACCTCACAATTTTGCGTATTGTGAGATTTTTATTATTATATTTGTCATCCCTATCGGCTCCTAGTGGCCAGAACCCGGTGTGGTCCACCACAGAGAAAGGCTAATCTAGCATGATGATATTATTTATTTTACAGGTTGTTTACTCAGCCTTCTGATGCTCACGCAGACGAGTGTTGGTGAGGGGCTGCGTTTGACTGTTGACTTATTTCTGCAGTGGGCCAGACTCACCTCACTCCACCCGGAGTTTGTTCTTCAAACTTGTATTATTAAATCAACTGTGCTGACGCACTTTAACGAGCTTCCTCCGCACCGTATTTTTTGCTGCAGGATGCAAAGTTTACATCACAGAGAAAGTTCGGCAGCCGCGTTTGCCGCTGTGTGCCTGCGCAGTGTGAGGGAAGGGAGTGGGCATGAAATACTGCTCTCAGGGTCTCTGCAGACAGCTGGTGTGATCAGCTCAAAAAGGCGTTGATCAGAATTTGCAGATCACAGGGTTTTTTTTCACTGAGATTGGCCACGAATTCTTCATTCAGTCGGCAGCCTGGGAATCGAAATCAGGAATCAATTTTTTTTTTTTTTTTGCGATTCCAGGAAAAAGTGGGACCACGAGACAGTCTGGTCATTCAAGAAAATGGCCAAATTACAGAAATTGGTGGGGGGGGGGGGGGGGGGGTTATTGATAGGATTAAAGCTACTTACCTCTGCACCCATAAAAGAGAGTGTGTGCATGCCATGAGAAGCTCCAAGCAGACCACACACCACAGCCAGGCCACAGCAGTCCAGGAGCAGGGAGACCAGCAGACAGAGCACCCTCACATGGCTGTTCATAGAAGTGGACGGGGAGAAAGACAGCTGGAAGGACAACAAGAAGAGGGATGCATGCTGTGTTTCACACAGTTCCTTTCCTTAAAAGTGCAAAATGTAACAATGAGGTAAAAATCCCATCCTGTGGTCAGATTTAGTTACTCTAGCCCACTTTCTAAACAAAATCGGCACCAGAAGATTCTAGATGACAAGCAAAGACGAGTCATACAGAGTAAGTTGATAAGTAGATAAATACATAGTTTTATCTGGTGTTAGCACTCTTGGGTGTTTTACGGTAAGGAGCACTTACTACACTTATTACAGAAGTATGCCTCCAGCATTACAGGAGTTTGCTGTTAGCTTGCTGTTATAGTTCTGAACGACTCATCAAAAGAAGTAAAACACCACAGTTGACTCATAATTTACTTCACAGATATTAATGTAATATGGAGTTGATGGTAATTGAAAAAGTAGCTTGAGATATTTTTAGAGCCAACTACCGTATTTGTTTCTAATTCACCATTAGCATTGTTAGCTCACCATTAGCCTCTAGCCTGCTTCATCTGATGTTGGGAGTAAAACAAAAAGATGCCATGACTTCTTAGGGGTACAAGAAAGAACTTCTGGGTTGCTGCTGTTTACTGGCTTTAGTTTTATAAATAACTCTGGTGCCAAATTACAAATGTGAATGCTACAGGGTTAGACTGGCACAGACTTGGAAACCTCACAGGTTCTGCTTCAATGGAAACCTTCCTTCCAACAAGAGTGAGGCATAAGACTGTTTTGTTATTTCTTTGCAGAATTCTTACATATTGCTCCTTTAATTCCTGACTTTTTTTTTTGAACAGATGAACTTATTAATCTAACTTTTGGTTAAACCAAACCACACATGCATAGCAAGTCTGTATCTTCATGATTGTTTTCTACTCATGATCCAGTTTGGTTTTCTAGAATGTTCTGTAGGTCTCTTTGTAATGAAGCATTGTGGGAAAGATGATGTCAGCACATTAAGAAATGGGCCTATAAGATCAGGATTTCTGGGGAAACCTGAAAAGTCTCACAGGATTCAACATAAAATGTGTGGATAAATCACAAATAAAAACTCTAAAACTCTAGTATATGTTCCACCTCATGTGTGCTGTCAAAGCACTTTGTTAAAGATAAACATTAAAAATAAAGCATTGGCTTAGATAAAAGCTGAAGGTTTGACAATATGTATATATTGCATGTATGTTGATGGGTTTGACAGAAAACAGAAACAAATAGAATCAAGAAGCACCTGAAAGTCTGAAGCTTCTGTTTTCAGTATAAATGACTGACTTCCCTCTTTTGCTTTTTGTTGTGCATTTTGAAACATGCTGTAAAACTCAACCTTGTTTGCAAAACAATTAAAAATACACAATATGCACTATATAAGCACATTGTAAATGTTTTTTACTCAGACACGTCTGTAGAAACATTCCAGGGTGACATACACCAATGTCCTTTGCACTCCTGACAAATGACACTTTGCTGCACCTCCTCCTTCGTGCTTCATGCTGTAAACGCATCCCTCCAGCAGAAAACCTCCCACTGTGACATATGTGTGTAAACAGCACATGTGGGGGAAAGTCTGCACACCCTTCTGAACACCTCTGGTGTTCAACTGTACAAGAAAAAACAATGTTTTTTTCCACAGAGTTGGGGACAACTTTCAACTCTAGGTTCAAAGCAGTTAACTGTCCTATTAAAAACAGGAGAAAACTAAAGGTGGTTCAGTTGCTAAAAGTAAGAAAAGCAAGTTGTACGACATGCATACGATCCAAAAACTCAAATATAATAATAATCCTTCAAAGGTTTCCCCTAATATCATGTACAGCCCACAAAATAAATTATTTTGGAACTACTTATGATAATTACAACAGCTGAGCTACAAGACATGACATGGGTGTCATATGTACCACACAATCTCACCAAATTACCCAAAACACACGCCAAATCTTTTATCTAGAGCTGCTGAATGTGCCATATACCCCCAAAGGCACAAACCTGCCGACGGATGGAAACAGGAAAACAGCTGGGTTGAACATAACCGACGTGCTTGAGTTTATAAAGACAAAGACCATCTCATTGTTTTATATGAAGAGAAAGTGTGTGTAATATAAAATATTTACACAAAACAGGTAGAAAAAAATAACTAGTCACTGTTACATTATAGCTACATTATGTTTAGGAGTTTTTCTTAAATGTCACAGCTTGCATGATGGTAATTCAATTTGATATTTTGTTTTTCTCATCTTGTGAGACAGGAGAGTGTTAATGTAGCAACTGAAACTCTATCAGCAGGCAAACATGTCAGAATATGGAGCTATTTATAGAGCTGGAGCTGGAATAAGTACATCTGCACTCAGACTTCTGAAGGACTTTCAGGGTGCAAAGAGGTTTGTTAGTTGGATTTACTCAAAAATCATGTGTTTTTACTTTTTTACAATTTAAATCTTAATGAAACAAGACATATCCTGTGTGCAAAACAAAGGAGAAGGTTTTAAATTGCGGTATTTAGGTATTTTATTGAATAGACTGAGCTCCTTCTGCTAGAAAATATTTAAAAACACATTTTGATTTTTGATTTTTAATTTTCTATACATTTAAAGTGATAACAAGCTGCATGTGGTGGTGTGTAAATGATTGAAAACCACTGAAACATACAAAAACAATGCAGTCCCATGCAACCAAAATGTTGGTATTCTCAAATTAACCAGTTTTACTTAATTCTCAATTGGAGCTAATAACTTGCAAACCTGTATAATTCAGCCCTTGATGACCCTGAAACATGTATGGGGAGGTGGATGCAGTGAAAAGAGATGGTGTGATAAAACATACTTACATATTCAAAACGATCTTTGCAGAGCTGTACCATGAGATGTAGAAAAACGAGGGCAGAGAACCACAAGCACCACATGACCACCTCCTCCACAGTTTGCACGTTCAATACTCCAAATATGAAAATGAACTTGTAAAAGATGAAATTCCAGAATTTATCCTTGAGATGCTGGGAGAAAAATAAAAAGCAAAATAAGATGCTTTTTTCTGACAATAAGCACTAAGTAAGTTGTACATTTTAGAAAATATATTTATTCCAGATATTTGAGCAAAACAAACAGATTCACCTGCTTTTCAATGACTCTGAGTGGCCCAAACACCACATACTGGATCATTTTAGCAATTAACATTAAAGAACAGCAGAATGTGTTGACCAAGACCTGCAAGAATGTGGAGAGTGGCATGATTATTAGTTTATTGCATGAGGAATATTATATCACCTGTGAAAACTCGTAATGGGAAGGATGCTCACCCATACAAAGAGACTGTCAGTAACAAGATACCACAGGACAGTTCTTGCCAAGTCTGTGTTGCTAACTGCACTACTTAGATGATGTTCAAGGTTAAATTCGGATGGAGCTGGTGTATCCTCGGTCTCCAAGGCCCCAAAGCCCGGGTCAGTGACAGTAGTGTAGGCACTGAAGATGCTTCCAGCCAGCAAAGCCACACTCAGGGCTGTGTAGGTCTGCAAGCTGGGCCATGGAAACCTCTCCATAAACAGCAGAGGCATTGCAGTGCTTGCGGTCCACTTCCTGACTTGTAAAAACTATGTCACTCCACCACCTGCCTGGGAGGGAGTTAGCAAAGGTTAGCCAAACTTTAATGAGCAAGGTGTGAGCACTATATAATCACCTTTGTGCTGGCGATCGCAGTTACTTAATTAGGGATAAACACATGCAACAAGCGGCCATTGCGAGGGTGTTATACTATCTTTACCTTTTTAAAACTAAAAGAAAGGCTAAAATGAGAAAATGGCTAGGCTAACCTCCAGATGAGGATCGACAATCCCATTGCTAGTGAAGTAAAACCGCAGCTTAATTAAAAATAATGTAATAAAATGTATAACTGGGTGGCTGAAATTGCAAACAGTATCAAAGGAGAATAAAAAATAAACAATAGTATTTCACGCCCAAAAGTGTTAAGTTATTTCCCTAGTGTTGCCTAATGCTAGCTTTCAAGCTAGCTGACGTTAGCTACGTACTTACGCGTTGTTGATAAACTCCTAATAGGCCTGTGTTGGGTTGCCACTTACAGATAGCCACAAAGGTAAACACGAGATCCAGGGTGGTGTGCTCTGAGCTGGGCTGGACTTTACGGGTTCTACACGAAAAACACAGCAGTCGTCAACATTGTTGTTGTTGATCTCACCGACAGTTAGCAGGCAACTAGCCGAGAGATGACGTCATCGGGACAAATTTAAAGTCACAGTAATGGAAAATAACCCGACCTTACCAGCTCCGTCATTCATTCATTCATTCATTCATTCATTCATTCATTCACCGCTACAATTTGCAACATATCGTAATGTTTTAACTGCTGTGGTTTTTTTCTCGAGGAAAATTGAAATAGGTACGGAATCTTCACTTAGTGTTTAAGACAGTTTATGGTTAATCATTTATTTTGCATTAAGTTTTTTTTATGTCAGCTGGTTTAAAAGGAAAAAACTAATGTTGAGACTCTGCATTTCTGCAAAATCAAAAAAGTTTCCTGGCAAGCCCTATTTATGTGAATATATATGCAGAGATGCAGTGCAACATCGTTTTGCTTCGGCTACACTCTGTCTAGACTTCTAGGCTAATCCATGCTTGCTGTTATTGAATTTTTATTAATTTCATTGCTATTTTAATTTTTAATTCAAGCAAAATGATATGTGGAGAAATATATTTCACTTCTGTCTATGCTGAAACTGTATCATGGAGGTGATTAAAAACAACTGACTTGAACTAATACAAACCCACTGCCCATTTTATAGAAGCGCCTTGCTTGTACCAGGTTGGTCCCTATTTTGCCTTCGAAGGGCCTTTATTCTTCTTGCCATAGGTTCATCAAGGTGGAAATATTCCTCAGAGGTTCTAGTTCATGACATTATAGCAGCACAGATGCGAATTTACAGGGAGTGCTGAATTATTAGGCAAATGAGTATTTTGTCCACATCATCCTCTTCATGCATGTTGTCTTACTCCAAGCTGTATAGGCCCGAAAGCCTACTACCAATTTAGCATATTAGGTGATGTGCATCTCTGTAATGAGAAGGGGTGTGGTCTAATGATATCAACACCCTATATCAGGTGTGCGTAATTATTAGGCTACTTCCTTTCCTTTGGCAAAATGGGTCAAAAGAAGGACTTGGCAGGCTCAGAAAAGTAAAAAATGGTGAGATATCTTGCAGAGGGATGCAGCAGTCTTAAAATTGCAATGCTTCTGAAGCGTGATCATCGAACAATCAAGCGTTTCATTCTAAATAGTCAACAGGGTCGCAAGAAGCGTGTGGACAAACCAAGGCGCAAAATAACTGCCCGTGAACTGAGAAAAGTCAAACGTGCAGCTGCCAAGATGACACTTGCCACCAGTTTGGCCATATTTCAGAGCTGCAACATCACTGGAGTGCCCAAAAGCACAAGGTGTGCGAAACTCAGAGACATTGCCAAGGTAAGAAAGGCTGAAAGACGACCACCACTGAACAAGACACACAAGCTGAAACGTCAAGACTGGGCCAAGAAATATCTCCAGACTGATTGTTCTAAGGTTTTATGGACTGATGAAATGAGAGTGAGTCTTGATGGGCCAGATGGATGGGCCCGTGGCTGGATTGGTAAAGGGCAGAGAGCTCCAGTCTGACTCAGACGCCAGCAAGGTGGAGGTGGAGTACTGGTTTGGGCTGGTATCATCAAAGATGAGCTTGTGGGGCCTTTTTGGGTTGAGGATGGAGTCAAGCTCAACTCCCAGTCCTACAGCCAGTTTATGGAAGACACCTTCTTCAAGCAGTGGTACAGGAAGAAGTTTGCATCCTTCAAGAAAAACACGATTTTCATGCAGGACAATGCTCCATCACACGCGTCCAAGTACTCCAAAGTGTGGCTGGCAAGAAAGGGTATAAAAGAAGAAAAACTGATGACATGGCCTCCTTGTTCACCTGATCTGAACCCCATTGAGAACCTGTGGTCCATCATCAAATGTGAGATTTACAAGGAGGGAAAACAGTACACCTCTCTGAACAGTGTCTGGGAGGCTGTGGTTGCTGCTGCATGCAATGTTGATGGTGAACAGATCAAAACACTGACAGAATCCATGAATGGTAGACTTTTGAGTGTCCTTGCAAAGAAAGGTGGCTATATTGGTCGCTGATTTGTTTTTGTATTGTTTTTGAATGTCAGAAATGTATATTTGGGAATGTGGATATGTTATATTGGTTTCACTGGTAAAAATAAATAATTGAAATGGGTATATATTTTTTGTTAAGTTGCCTAATAATTATGCACAGTAATAGTCACCTGCACACACACAGATATCCCCCTAAAATAGCTAAAACTAAAAACAAACTAAAAACTACTTCCAAAAACATTCAGCTTTATTAATGAGTTTTTTGGGTTCATTGAGAACATGGTGGTTGTTCAATAATAAAATTATTCCTCAAAAATACAACTTGCCTAATCATTCTGCACTCCCTGTACAGTTCTACCCAATTACAAAGGTGTTGGGGCTTTTTTAATAAAGTTTAATTTACAAACAAAACAGAAAGTCGCTTAAGGCACTTTCTATACAAGACTTTGTGATTCATAGAAAACAAAAACATCACAGAAAATGTGCACAATTTCACACAAACTCTGACCCTTGCCTATGCACATCTTGGTAAAAAGTGCAGCTGATGAGACGGCAGAATGGTCAATTCAAGCCACATTTGTAGACTTGAACACACACACATCACATGTTTAAAGTCCCATATTATACACCCTCATATTAGTATTTACCCAGAAAATTTGCTTTGCTGTGCACCTGACTTGCTGACTTGGTTCGTTCAGTTGTTACCTGTAGTTAGCAGATTGGCCGCCATATGTGGAACTGCTATGATTGATTAGCGTCGTTGGCCAGCAGAGCAAGATGCACTTGTTTTTGTGATTTATACTCATTACCTATTATGATTTGTATTAGGGATGTCCCGTTTCGATGTCAGAAATAATTTGGTATCGGCACCAAAACAGTGTATTGGATTACATCAGACTGCATCAAAAATCTTCGATATGTTAAGATTCACATTTTTGCAACCAATGGTTAAAAAAAAAACAATTTTTTTTCATCCGTACTGGTATGGGCTCTTGTTCTTCGATTGAGTAATATCACTTGATCAAGCCTTTCATACATTCCACACTCCAAATTAGGTAAAAGTATGTATGTTTTGTGCTGATATCGTATTGGATTCATATCGGTATTGGTCAGTACTGAAAGTTGCAATATCGGTATCATATCGGAAGTGAAAAAATTGTATCGGGACATCCCTAATTTGTATTGCGGTGATGATTTGTGTTTGAATTGCTGCTCTCGATTTGTTTTTGTACATGATTGTGTTTTGTACATTGTCATTTTCAGTTTTGACAGTGCAAAGTGCACGGTCTAAAGTGAATAACAAGAAAGAAAGAAACAATAAAGTTTATGCACCCATCAAGCCTCTTTTATGGTGCCAGGGGCAGCTACAGTGAAAACATATCCAGCGACAGCTCATCACAGCAGGACTTGTCGAGCAACAGTTAGGAAACAGCTTGATGCAGAACCATCAGGATTGCCTCTTTCCTTCCCTTCTAACCACCTCAGAAACTGTGAGTAGGAGATTCTTACGCCGCAGAATGCACCAGGACTCAACGCCTCCTTAGGAACCGTAAAATGGACTTTTTGCTGCACAGAGCAATCAAGAGTTAAAAATGTATGCTATGTTTTATTATTGGAATTGTTGGGTTGTAGTTATATGTGTCCGAATTAGGCATAAAACTATCTCTCAGAGCAAGCTCTAGAGAGAGCGTAAGGTAAATGAAAAAGTCAAAGAGATGAAAGAGCAGCAAAATGAGAAGAATCAAAAGTCTTTTTATAAGACGTACAACACATGGGGAGAGTTGGCAAGAGAAATGAGGACAAAGCTCAAAACTTTCTGAGGATCTTGACAAGCTGTTAAATGGTATTACAGCTAAATGAACCCTAGTGCACAATTTATATAAGGCTCTTTGTTAAGGTTATGTCACAGCCGCTGTCGGTACAAGATCTGCTCGGGTGCAAGATGAGTAAGGTCTAGTTGCAGACGCAGCCCCGACAAACCACGCCCCCGACCAAACACGCCCCCATGTGCCTGTTGAGCTCCCCCGAGCTCCCCTGGTGGTCAGAAAAGGGAAATATCTCAATAATGGTGTCGGTGCAAGATTTATTTTTAATTATTATTATCATTAAATGCTTATTACAATTTCTCGTGAGACAACAACACATAATGGAAACATACAAGGCATCCTTGGTAACAATAAAAGAAACACAAATAAGAAACTTAAAAAGAAGCACTTATATCACAAAGTAAAAACGTTGTTACAAGATTAAACATTTTTCTGCAGCATGACAATTGGCTTTTGCAGTTGCATTTGAATTTTTTATACGAATCAAGGTGGATAAGAACATATGGAATTCATTTGTAAAACAGTTCATGTTTGGCAGTTGTGTTTTTTCCATTTGCTTTTGTGGATGTGGTATTTACCCATAATAATAATAAATTAACAATGAATTATTCCCATTTAATTTAGAATTGTAAATAAGAATATCTTCATTTGTAAAACGATCAAGTTCTCTTATTTTATTTCTTAACCAACAATGGACTTCTTCCCAAAACCTCTTACTTATATGACAGCTGAAAAATAAGTATTCTATTTCTTCAGGGCTTCCCTGACAGAATTCACAAGGGTCAACTTCAAAACCAAATCTCTTCCTCAGTGTCTCTGCTGATGAATAGTAGTTGTTAAGAATTCTAAATTTGCATTTCTTTTACTTTGGGCATTATAGGCCATTTTATAAATTTTAATTATTTTTCTTCAATTATTGCATTTCCTAGTATTTTTATTTTAATCTTTCTATCATAATCATGATAGATATATTTTTTAAAGGCTCCATTTAAAATTTTATTTTCACATTTTCTTTCTGTGATGTTCAATTCTCCTAATTAGGAAGTTTTATTTGAACATTAGAGAAGAGAATTGTGTTTTTTATCATTTGTATCAAAGTCACTGGTAGAGCCTTACATACTTTCTCATATTCCTGAATAGAACATTGAATGTTATTAAATTTGTATTTAAAATTATGTAGCTGTAGTATTTCACCATCTCTATCCCATTTATGTCGATGCTTTATCCATAATATCGTGTACAAAGATAATTCCTTGATCAAACCACTGT